GGGCCCCCGCGGCTGCCCCGGGCCTGTCCCCTGCGCCCAGCTGAGCCCCGTTCCTGCCCTTCCTCCTCCCGCTCAGCCGGGGCCCAGCCCCCGCCTCGCTCCCATTCCCCAGCGAGCACCCAGTGTGGGGATAGCGATAGGCATGGAGCCGGGTTAGTCTGGGGGAGCTGAAGCAACATGCAGGACAATGTAGCACTGTAAAGACTGACACAGTGCTGGGGTGCAGCTCCTCGGGGTGACGCTGGCAGCAGAGGTGCCCTGTATTAGGGTTACCATCTCTGAGCTTTCAAAAAGAGGCCACTCCTGAGAAGTGGTTTATCTGTATCCTATCTACCAACTCACCCTGTATTAATGTGTTACAGGAAATCCCCGAGTTGCGACCCCCCCCCACTTACAACTATTTTTTAAAGTGCCGAAACCCCCCCACTTACGTCCTCTGCCCACATTTATGACAGCGCATGGCACCTGTCAATGACAGTTCGAATGACAACACCTCTGACTTGCAACGCTTCCCTGGGAACCAATCGCGTCGCAAGTCGGGGGTCGCCTGTATATATTACATCAGAAGTGTCCTCTTTTTTGAAAGTTCAAATATGGTAATCCTACCCTACATCACACCTCCGCATAGGGCACGCAGTGCAAGTGAACGCTTGAAACAGCAGGGGGACTAGTCATAGCCAGATGCAGTTACCTGAGTTGACGTAAGACAAAAAACGTAAAGACATGCTCGCCCACTTCCTGAAAGTGCTGCTCTGGCACAATTCATGACCATCAGTGGTCCTGACCTTGATGTTGTCTCATCTACTAGCATTTGATTTAGTTGGTCTAGTGTAGACCCTCAAATTGAATGCTGATGGCAGGCCCAGCCGAGGTCCGGTACTCCTCGATCTGCGAGAGTAAGAGAAGCCGCCCGCAGTGTAGACTCTGCAGCAGCTCCGCTTAAAGTAATCCAGATCCAGCTATGCATTTTGCATAGCTGGATGGTGTACCTTAAGTCAACCTGACTGATCTAGTGTAGACCAGGCCTTAGCTTGTTCCGTGGGCCTGCTTTGGGAAAGCCACTAGCAGGCCTGTGCCACTTCGTAGTCATGGAGCCCTGTGGCATCCATTGGCTCCGGTTCACTGTTTTCAGCCAAGGGGAGCTGTGGGAAGCCAGGCCCAGGCCATGCCACTTCCCATGGCTCCTCTTGGCTGGAAACGGCAAACTGGAGCCAATGGAAGCTACTAAGTTCCATAGTTAGGAACCGTCTAGGTAAACAAAGTGGCACAGGCAGTGACTTTCCCACGGTGGGCCCACAGAACACTTTGAGAAACACTGGTGTACAAGTACACGAAGACCAGAATAAACTACAGAGACTTGAGCATATGTTGAGGTGGAGAAGAGAAGCCCTATATCTCCAGCTACCTGTCATACATATTGTGCCAGTTACACATCCTGCAAAGAGTACATTTAACAAACAAAAACAGATTCACCTCTAAGGACCTAGCTCAAATAAAATGTTTAAATTTAATGTCCAGCTGAGACTTACTTGGTAAAACACAGGCTCTAAACCTGTTCTCTTAATTTATGTGGTTTATTTTCTCTCCTGCAAACTGCAGGGGTTATCTCTTTTCAGCAGAAGGGTTGATTACTGCAATAAATGTTGCTTAAACAACTTAGATTTTCATGATACAAAGCCTTTGCTTGTTAGTTTTGTTAACTCTGTGCTTCCTGTTATTTGAGCAAAAATACATTGTTTTCCATACAGTCTGGTGGATTTTGTAATGTGATGCATTGAAAAGGGTAACAAAGCTCCCCGAATTCTTCTCATTTGCTATATGAGTGGAGTTCAGAGTTCTGCCTTGGGATATCACTTCAGCAAACTAATCACTTAAACTTTCAAAAGGCTTATTTTCATAATGTTTACTTGTCTGCATGGCAAGTTTCTGTTCTGCGTGGCAAGTTACTACAAAGCAACATGTGAGTCTACAGCGCACCAATCTTACTGTGCTGTAGCAGGCCCCACCCATGTAACTGCAGGGCAAGTGGGTGCACTGTAAAATCACACCCTAGCTTGGAGCACAATAACTGTCTGTTTCCCAAGTGAGTTCTTTCCCTCACATGGCAGAATTCTTCCTTGTCTGAGTCACCAAGTTTCTGCTGACTCTCTATCCTATGAAGAAACATCCATATAGCAGTATGTTGTATTTGGCAACACGCAGAACTTGCCATCCAAAGATAAAGCACATTACACTATGGAATAGAGAGAGAGTGAGTCAGAGACAGCAACAAAACCCAGGG